CAAAAATCTACAAATAGAACTGCCATATGATCCAGCAATCCCATTTCTTGGCATCTACCCAAAGGACAGAAGAATTTCTCATTGGAAAAGTGCTTGCACATCAATGTTTATTGCTGCACTTTTCACGATTGCTAAGACATGGAACCAACCCAAATGCCCTCATATGGCTGAATGGATTGAAAAATTGTGGCACGTATACTCTATGGAATACTATTCAGCCATTAAAAACAACAAAACCCTGGCTTTTGACAGAAAGTGGAAAAAAATGGAATATTTACTGCTGAGTGAAGCAAACCAGGCTATGAAGGAGAGACTCTGTATGTCCCCACTTAATATAAACCTAATGTCCACACTCTATAACTGAAACTGATGGGCTAAAGGATGTACAAACACAAGAGGTGGATATGAATGCCAGATGTGGTGTGTGTGAAGGAGTGGGGTCTGGGGAAGAACATTTGGAGTAGGGATACGAAGACAGCATTGTTGAGACAGGGAGGTAGTGCTGTTATATTTTTATCAAATCGACTGGGGAGAAATATTCTTATATTGAAATGATCACCTTGTAAGCTAAATAATGTGATTGAATGTATTAAAAAATATAAAATAAATAAATACATAAATAAATAAATTTAATTAAATTACAAAAAAAAAATCTTATACAGGGTGCATGTGCTTGAGTACTCCAAATCCCAAAAAAATCCCAAGAGGGGAATGGAGGAGAAAGGATTGTGGCATGACCATACCCCACTGTGGGCTGATATCTCGCTTTCTGTTTCTCTGCCTCTGTCTCTCCATCTCTCTCTGGCGAGCACACACACTCTATAGCAAAAATCTCTCTTTAAGAAAAAAATATTAGATGACATCATCTGGGTGAGGCCCTCAAAACTGAATACTGGCTCAGAAGGAGAGAGAAGGAGCAGAGCAAAGACATCAATGCAGACCTTCACCTCTCATTATGTGATGCCCTACACCACCTTGGGACTCTACAGAGATCCCCCACCAACAATAAAACCCTTTCCAGATGCACCCCTTAATCCTAGACCTCCAAAGTCATGATGTAAATTAATTTACAACTCATTCAATCAGTGGTATTCAGTTTTAGCATCAGAAATGTAGGCCAAAATAGTGTCAATGGGAAAAGAATAATCTTGTGTGCAAATCTTTGTGATCTTAGATTAGGCAATGCTTTCATAGACACCAAAATCATGCTAATGATGGAAGGAACCAGCCCATCTAATTCTTAATGTGCCACACAGAATACTTCTAGACTAACACAACACCAAGAGACAAGGGTGATGAACTTAGACGCTGAACCTATCCATGAAGTCTTCTGGGAGTAAGTTTTAAGCAAGAGAAGTGATTTCACTGGAGGAAAACGGGCAGGAGAGTATTCTGTATCTTCAGGCACATCACAAGTGACTTACTCTGATCTGATAAATACTGCACCCATCTTAAAGAATGTTATTTAAAGTTAACCTCAGTCAGTTTTACAGAAATGTAAGACAAATAATTCTAAATCTGTCAATGTATCAAAATCAGAATTTTAGCTGCTATATTTTTCTGAAGACCTTTATAGACCAAATAGGTATTTTGGCAAATTTGCAATTTTCTGTTTGCTTTGTTTGGCTTGTTTACTATTTATAAAATTTTCTTCAAGTTTATTTACTTAATTCTTTCCATGAGCACACACATGCATGTGAGGCAGACAGACAGAAAGAGAGAGAGAGAGAGAGAGTACCTCCACCAGAGTCTCCACACCATGATCCCCCCCCCAACTTCAGTCGGCCTCAGATGGGCATGTCTGTGTTTGGCATGCTTAGGTAGTTCTTTGGATATGAATATGGGTCAACCTCACAAAGCCTTGCATTCTACCACTGCTTCACTGTCCAGCTCCAACTAATTTAGTATTTCATTAATTTTTTTCTACTAAATTCAAAGCTATGATGAGAAATCCTAATTATTTTTGAGAGAGAGGTTATTGCTATAGGGCACATGTGCTCGCCAGAAAGACAGAGATAGAGACAGAAAGTGAGAAATCACCCCCCCAGGGGAGATGGCCATGCTGCAACCCCGTCTCTTCCATTCTCCTCTCAGGATCTTATGCACGCATGCACATGTGCCCAGCCTGAGTTTAAGCCACCAGGTCCAGGACTTGAAACACGATCAATTACATGGGAGTCCAGCAACATAGCCATTACATTAACTGCTGGACCCAATATTTTCTTATATTTAAGAAAAAATACTTTCAAATAGCAAAACTCAATCATTTAAGTTAGAAGTTAAATGTCTGCTCCATTCTAGACTCATTTCTTCTGATACAGTTTTTTCTTTTTCTTATTGTTTCTCTTTCATTAACATGTAATAATTGTACATATTTGTAGGATACAGTGCAACTTTTCAGTACAAGAATACACTATATAAGGATTAAATCTGGGTAATTATTATACCTATCATCTCAACTATTTGCCATGACTTGTTTTGGGAAAATAGGACCTTGATTCTTCCTGTACAATTTTTATGGAAAGAGAATGGATTCCTCACTGGATAGTTTTTTTATTTATTTTTTTTAGAGGTTTTTGCTATAGGGCGCATGCACTCGCCAGACAGACAGAGAAAAACAGAGAGACAGAAAGCGAGAAATCACCCCCCGGGGGGATGGCCACGCCACAATCCCTTCTCCTCCATTCTCCTCTTGGGATCTTGGGCACGCACGCACACGCGCCCGGCGTGAGTTTAAGCCACCGGGTCCAGGACACAAACCGCAGTCGACTACATGGGAGTCCAGCGACATAGCCATTACGCTAACTGCTGGTCCCACTGGATAGTTGTTTTGAAAATGCTAATATTACGCAGTCAACATGCCTTATTTGTTTATTTTTATATATTTATAATGGAGAGCACACGGCGCACACATGAAAGACAGACAGTGTACGTGAGAGAGAGAGAGAGAGAAAAGCATCTCAATAGGGTTTCATCATGCCACAATCCCCTTTCCCCAGCACTCCAGCTCATTAGGATCTTGGGTGCCTGGGTGCATCCATAGAGTGTTTTCAGGCCAACTCATGATCAGCATGTGGATTGCAGCACTGAAGTTCAGTATAATGCAGACTTTGCCACCTAATCTGGACTGTTATTATTTTTATATATATATAAATATATTTATATATATATAAAATATGGTTTTAGGACATGCGCATTCACTGGAAAAACAGAAAGAGATAGAGACAGAAAGCGAGCAATCACCCCCCCAGGAGGGTTGGCCACTCCATAACCCCTTCTCCTCCACTCTTCTCTTGGGATCTTGGGCACATACGCACACGCACCTGGCACGAGTTTAAGCCACCGGGTCTAGGACTTGAATTATGTGGACTATATGGGAGTCCAGCAACGTAGCCATTGCACCATGTACTGGTCCCAATATATTTTTAATTAAAAACAAAGATATTTGATAGAACAAGTCTCTAAATATTTCCATAAATGAGAAAAAATAACTAGAAAGAGTTTAATTATTAAGCTAAACCTTTATGGTGATTTGGTGAAGGAGTTCTGGCAATTCTGGAGCCTCGTTAATTCTCACTTCTAAGATTTAACTACAGAGTTAAGTACATTTAACAATCCTATGGTTCAATTAATGAATTAAGTTATGAGATAAATTACATAACTGGAAATAGCTCATTTTAAATGTCAATCCTTAGTAATGGTATTCATTCTCATTTAGTTGAATAAAAGTTGTTAGCGGACCAGGAGGTGGCATGGTGATCAAGGCAGCCGGATCCATATGGAGCCCACCAGTCTTAGGCCTGGCAGCTTGAAAAGCACAGCAGTGTACAAGCCCAAAATCCTGACAGGAGAAAAGAGAAGGGACCACCGCATGGTTGTCCCTCCTGGGAAGTACTTATTCACTTTCCCTCTCTCTCCTTTTTCTCTATCTTGGGCGAGCACACCCACCAATAACAAAAAATAAGAATGGAAAAAAAACAAATTAGCAACATTTCTTAAATGTTTGTCTAATGCATCTTCAAAAACTTAGTTTGTGTTCATTTGGGGAAGAACATGCAGATTTCAGATACCTGGTGGTCAACAGAATTGTGCCCAGTATTTTTATCATACACCTGGTACTGAAATGCAGTTTGCATGAGCAAAAACAAAAGTGGGAATTGACACTCACATCAAGATGACATAAAAGAAAACTCAGCCAGCCCACTCACCTTGGGGTGCTATCAGAGTTCTTCCATTCTGCTGACACCAACCAGCTGGCTGGACATAAGGACTATTAACATCACACCTGCAAAGACAGGATTCTATTTTAGATATCATATTACTCAATGCCAGAGAAAGAGTGCAAGAGTAATGACCATTCCTGGATATGAAGAGATACAATGGAAAATAGTACTTCATAGCTGTAGAGAATGAGAAGTGATTTTAATATGGCATTTGTAGACTGAATGACCAAACTTCTCTTTTATGTAACCTGGAAAATTTAAAAGTATAAAATAAAGGGAGGGTTTGACAAGAACCTGAACTACCAGTGAGATCTCCAGAAAGTGAACAGTTTCACAAACTACTTTTACCACTTAGTAGCAGGAAGAGAAAAATATTAATAAGACAGTCTAAATTTAATAGAATGGCCTAATTAGGCAACAGATGACTACATTTCTCCTTCCTCCCCTTTTCAAAGAACTCACATATTCTACCTAAGACACTTACAACAAATACTTTATGCTGTGCTTCTTTGGCTTAGGGGAGAAATCAGGGCCCCTACAGGCATGTGAAGAACCATAGGAAGGGGTAGGGACTTCTGATTGCTCAGCACATACCACGAAGAAATACCGTAAGAATTATTTTTGCCATGACCTGTTCCATATTTCAGATTATTTATGTAGAAAAACTCTTTTAACTTATGTAATGTTAGTTTAATGGCATCAAGCATACATTTTTTATGCTCCCTACAGACTTTCAAATAAGCGACTCCCATTTTCCCTGAATCTTTCTTCTTAAAAATGTGACAGGTTGAGTTCAACATTTTTCAGACCAGAAAAAAAAAAAAAAAGTGTAAGTTTTTAACATCCTTTTCACAAAAATACTTCCTTTATGAACTAGGCAAAATAGAGTGACGTACTCTGAACTGATCATATAATATTATTTCAGGTGAGGTCTCATTACGTAACTTCTCATAGGATGGAGAAGGAGTATTTTGGGCTCTTTCACTCAACAATTCACATGGAAGAGAAGGTAGTCAAGAGCCAACCATTAAATCTCTGATATTAATTACTCTAAGGACAGCAAGAACACTGACAATATTGGAATAAATATAAATTCTGAACATCAAACATATGAACACATGAAAATAAAATGCACATCGGCGTCTCACCAGTAATCGTAACTATCATCCCAATTGTCAAAATGCACTAGTAAGCGATCTTCGACAATATCTGCTATGGTCGCCACACACACCAAGGAAGGGTTCTTTCTGTCGACAGCCTCCAGCTTCATTCCAACCTGAAAGTCCTTTGGCACTGGCCCATTCTAACACAGCACCAGCGGGGAAGAGGCACAAAAAGAAACAAGACACCAAATAGGACTGAACCATTGTCAAAACTTCTATAAGGTTTAGCAACAGCAAAATCTACATGATATCAGTACGTACCCTGTGGGATGAACAAGCAGCCGATGCCAGTGAAACTATCTAGCAACTGCCACATCGTTTACACGCATGGCAAAGACTTTGGACACTAGCCTTCCTTTGTGCTTGTTGGTTAAGTTGTGCAGGTGGGTTTTCTCTCCCTTATCATGTTTATTTTTCCCTCTTCAATTTTCAGAGTAAAGTGTATGAATTTTAAAATATAATGTGTTCTGAATTCATAGTACCACATGATTTTCTCTGCTCTCCACATGCATTTGAATAGCTTCGAATAGCTTCCAAATATCACTATTTTAAAAAGTGGTGGAAATATGCTCTTTAGTACCAAAATAACATTTAATTTCATTATTCAATGTGAAAATAGTAGCTTTCTCAATCTTTAAGGAACATAAGCACTAACTAACCCATGAATAAAACTACTGTTTTAAAAATACAAATGCTATACGTTTTTTTAGTATAAAAAATAATATGGATTATGATTTATAATAACATAACAATTAAAAAACCCTACTCATCATATAGCTACAGTTAGCCAGTCCTAGAATCTAAGGAACAGACACATAATACCTAAGGACCAAAAAAGGTTATTTTCTCTACTTCTTTACTGTCTATACAGAATCCTGACTACTATTTTCCTTTAATACATTCTATTTTCCAACCAATTTCACATTTCAATAACCCCCTTTCCTTGATGCAATTCTATGGAATACATGTAACAATTGTATAGCACTGATTTTAACATTAGGAAAGTGAAATCTGGAGAAATGCAGTGAGGGCCCACACATAACACTACCCGCAGGCGGCAGGGCCGGTTCCTCACCCTAGCCTAGGTTCCTGAATTGCACCCACCTTCTCCCTAGAGTACTGGCTTCACTGCCAAGCCCATGGGGGTGGCTCCAAGGCACTGGGAGTTGCAACTTATTCTCATGCACAACTGAAGATGTATTAAGTTACTGAGCTCACAGATGGCCTAAGGAGTGAGCTGGACCCACGTCCTCACAACACCCCTAGAATCTTTATAAAATGTGACTCTCATTTTCATTACATTGAAGTATGTCCATTTAAGTGACACATTCAAAGTCTACCTAGAGTATCTATGGGTTTCAAAACACTAAAACTAAGTTAAAAAATTAACTCACTGTAAGCAAACAAGAAAAATATTTTTAAAAGACATTTTAAATTTTGTAGGCGTTACATATGTAAAACTTTCAAGTTTTCCTATCTAATAAGTATTTAATTATACTGTAAAAGGGGAAAAAAGAGAGAGAGATGCCCATAGGAAACCATGACAAAATAAGTAAGAAAAACCATAAGAAGTTCCAGGTTTCCTAACTTATTAAAAGGATTAAAATACAATTAAACGTCTAATGAATTTTAAGAAATTTAAGCTTAGGAGAAAATCTGATTTATACTGAAGAAGAAAATACTTACAGAACTTCTGTTTCTGAACAATTTCTTGGGAGCATTTTGTAATTTGCAAGCCTTCAAGTAATCCATCCAAACAAATTTATCTCTTCTATAACCTAAGAAAATATACAGTATTCAAAATAACTAAAAGAAGTAACCACATGTATATTAAATGCACTATTATTATTTTCAAAAGTTTGCTATAAATTCAATGTCCTTAGCAGACCACAAAAGACTGAAATTAAAATCTCCAAATGAGAGGCCAGACAGCAGCTCAGTGGTAACACACCTAGTCTCACATGGGAAAGCCCCAGGTTTGCATCCTATGCTCTCCCTGTACACACCCAGGGGTGCATGCACACCTAGGCACTCATCATCCAGATTGGCTGAGACCAGGGTGCTTCATGGCATGACGACTCTGCTTGAAGTGCCTGTCTCTCTGTCACTGAAGAAATAAACTTTTTTTTTTTTTGGTAATTTTTAAAATTAATTAATTAATTTTTACATTTTTCCACAAACATTTACTTTACATACCAAAAGAACATTTTAGCTCATACTCCACAGTTCTTGACAGTTAATAAACAACTTTTAAAAATTTCAAAATACTGAATTTTAAAGATAATGTTCAAAATATTTCTTATAATTTTGTTTATGACTCTATAACAGCAGAAACAGTATGGTTTTAAATATTTTTGAGAAAATATTTACATGTCAACTACTCAAACTGTTGAAAAGCAAATGCCCAGCACACTAGTCACACATAATCCTTCTCAATTCAGCCCTGCCTGCCAAGCATTCTGTGATATATCATCTGCTAGCAAAGGTCAGTCTCTTTTCCTTCCTTCAAAGTCTTCTCAAGATAATCCTCCGGTGTGGTTGCTCTTTTGCAATTTCTACTGATTACAATGCTGGGCTGGAAAAGTCCAGGTTATTTTATGTTATAAATTCTTTCATATATCTTCTCTAATCCTCTCTGCCAGGCAGAACTATTTATGCAGCCAGGCCATCTTTCTAAGAGTTTTCTAATAAATAAAATGGCTGGCTGCATTGCCTAGTGATTAAAGGAGCCAGATCCCACAAGCCTGACCATACAGCTTAAATCCTGGCCCTGGTAACTTGAAAAACACACCAAGTAAGAGTGTAAATTTATGCCCCAAATCCTGGCAAGATAGAGAAATAAAGATGAGCTGGTGGTGTGACTATGCTCCACTGGGAGGTCATCCCTCTCTCTCTTCCTTGGTCTCTTTTTCTCCCCTCTAGCAAGCACACATACCCTCTGGCATTATTTTAAATTGAATTAAAGATAAAATCTCCTAATTCTTTCAATTAAAAAAATGTATTAAGCTCAAAGCTGTCCAGTATAGTTTCCCATCATGCACATCGTTCTCCACAAATGTTTACTATTCTTTGATATGGAACTGATACTGTGGTGGCCTGAGGGGAGTTTTGTCTTTCATTAAGACTTTCGGGAATCAGCAAAGAGGTGAGACAAATGTTCCCAGGTATGTTCCCTCTCCTGAGGAAGCCATTATATGGAGACTATGATAGGTTCTTCTGGCACAGTAATTCAGGACTCCAGACACCTGGGGAAATTTTAGAAACCCCTTCTCAATCCAGAGGTCATCTGGCAGCTCCTTTTTTTCTTTTCTTTTTTTTTTTTTTTCTCTCCATGTGTATGCAAATTTACTATAAAAAATGCCTTATCCTCCCATTCATATTCTCTAAAATATCTCCCACAGTGCTGGCCAAATAACATGGGCTCAAAAGTTTCTGAGTGTCTCACTTAGAACAGAAGTCAAACTCCTTGCATGCCTTTTAAGGCATGCCTACACCTCTAATTTCATCTCTTACTTTATCACCCTTGCATCTCTGCTTGTTTCCTTGAGCATCCTCATCCTCACCAGGCATGCTCTTTTCCCACGGCTCACCCTTGGTTTTCCCTCTATCTACCTGATGCTTTTACCCAGAGAACCTGACTTGCTTTCTCATTTCATCTCAGTCTCTGTGAAATGCCACATCCCCAGAGAGGTCTTTGTTCACCACGCTAACTGAAAAAGTGTGCCTGAAGCCACACTAAACCTTCCATAATCCTTATCTTCTTCCACAATAAAGGTCCCATGGAAGCAGGGACTGTTTGTTTTATTCGCTGTTGTATCCTTGGTGTCTGCACATAGTAAGGGCACCATAGGTAGGAGAGGGCCTTTAAAAAATTCTTGGGAAATATAAATTACAGAAAAGACTGTAAGTAAAATTAAAAATATTTTGCACCAAAATAAACTCATACTTTAATTGAGTGTTTCATAAACTTTCTGAAGTCCTCTCACATATTATTTAAAGTGAGTTGAAGTATTAAAACAACAAAAAAAGATAGAATGGCATTAAGAGAAAAAAACTTGATATAACTGAATGTCTATCATAGAAAGTTAGTATATAAGGTCCTGACTGGGTAAATTAAAAATAAAACAGAACAAACAAAAAACCTACTGAATGGATGAACAGGAAAACCTACTGAATGGACAAACTGGTTTCCTGTCACCAGCTTCCATGAAATCCTGCAATCTCAAGGGACTCTACTCTCAGTCTCAGGGACAGACCCAAGGACACCCTGAGTTGACTGCTAAGAATAAAACAACTATATACTGACTCCAAACATTGCCACAGTCAAATAGTCTAACACCCAAAGAGGAGACCACATACGGAAGTTTGCCCTGCATAGAAACAGGCTCATGGGCATCTTACTTGATTACACCCTCACCTGGCCAGCATACAGCAAACATAACAGCTTTACTCATGTCTCTCTGGCCCAGGTTCCTCTAACACACAACAAAAGACAAAAATGAGATTTTAATTCCCATCAAAAGAAGACAGATATTAATATTTACTTCATATTATTCATGAAAAATAAAAACTCATGGAAATTTGTTCGGTGTTTTCCATGATTCCTAAGTTTGAAAAAGAAAACATTATCAGTGAATCAAGTTTCCTCACTATGTAGTATCACAGATGAAGTGAGCTGTTTCATTTCAACCATAATTCAAACATAAGTTTTCATTCCATGCAAGGTTTACTGAACTATGTAAAATAAGTTCTTTTGTAAGTTTGTATTTATGCTCTAAATACCTTATTCGATTATTTTACCAAAACAGTCAATGATGCTTTTCTTTATATGTATGTATTTATTTATTAAGTTGATTCATTTATTTCTTTCATGAGTGATAAAGAGAGAGAGAGAGAGACAAACAGACAGCACCCCAAAGAGGGTCTTGATGCCATAATCCACTCCAAGCCTCAGCCATCCCTGGGTCATGGGCACAGATGTGCTTGGTATACTTAGGAAGTTCTCTGGTAGTGAACCCAGAACCTTCCTACATGGGTCAGCCTCACAGAACACTGCATCTTCCTGTTGCACCACCATCTAGCTCCTAAGATATTTATTTCTAAGAATGTTATCATTTTATACCATTGTAGTCTTATTGTTCTTTGTGGATCAAATTTTCATTTTGGAAATCAATCCACACCAGACTCTCTTGTTAGTTATTTCATTAAATGTTATTAAAATAAAACTGAAATATTAACTGACTGACACTTATCAGCTGATAATTGTTTCCTGTCTTACCTTTAGGGATATGCAGTTCATGTTTGGTCTTTTCACACCATCCTACTGGATGAATGTCAGGGGAACCAGCATTGGTCCAAAAATCATAGCAGCTTAAATAACCATCAAAATGAAGCCTTAGACGGTACCCACACACCTGCAGAATACAAAGTATGCAATTGTTGATTAAGTGTCATATAACCGAAGTGGACAGAAATTTCACAAAATAGTCATATGTTTATCAGTGTCATCAACATATAAAAGTCAGGCATGCCACCCAAAGGTTTTCATTGGAAAACACATTTTTCAATGATATCTGATAAAGACAAAATGGTGATGAAATAAACTGTCTTTCAGCCAACTAGAGCCTTCTACAAAAAAAAATCGTGATTTTTATCTAATATAGAAATCTGAGATCTATTTACATATTAATTAGTCCAGTATCTATCAAATATTTCTTTTAGAATCCTTGTACCCCAGGGTCTGGCTTCGATTCACGTCTCAAGGCATAATATGCTGAAGTACAGAGCAAAACCGAAATGAATATGGCCTTGTTTCAGCTCCAACATATGATACAGCACACTCAACAAAGACAATAATAAAACAGTCTGAGAAATGAATCTTCTACACATGCTGTACAAGTTTAATAGCTATAATCAATCAGTAAAGTAAATAAATGTGAATGCTATATTCAATGCCACCAGAAATATAGGGATCTTTTATTGATTTAATAACATGTTTAGTAAATATTACATTTTACAAGTCATTTGCTTTTATCAATGATTCTCCATGCTGTGTAATTTTCATAAAATGCCTATATTTATATAAATATGTAACTCATATGCATGAATATTATTCATACACATTTCTCATTAGTTCAGCTAACGTGAATAATTACATCTCTGTTAACAGGTTAAAAACAACTTTGTGTGATTCACAGATTTTCATCAACCTCAAGTGAAAACTGTTTACCTATTAAGTCAAGAGTAAATCCTAGTTGATGAAGTATATAGAAAATTCATCTTCGATGGAGAAAAAAAATCATTAAGAAACATTTTCGCCTTATCACCAGCCATAAATCCATAATGCACTGGACCTTGTTTATAATAGAAAGTACTCAAATTTGTTATTCTCTAGAAAGTTCTCTGTCACTATTCAATTAGCCCAAAACAATAACACATCTCTTACCTCAGCTACAGAAAGCACACAGAATACAGACGGGTGTCGAGGATCAATGCCCTCTAATCTCATTCCAATCTCAAAGCCATTTTCATGCTCTGGAAAGGATTGATCCTATAAAATTCCATGATATAGCATTAGCCATTAAAATTCTTCACAATTTTATACTAACATCTTAGTGTCACTTAGATGTGAAAGCTAAAGGAACCAACATGTCCCCATAGAAGGAAAGAGTAAGATGGAGGCTACCAGAATTTTTCTTTTGGGGGGTGGGAGAAATGGAGAGATGTCAGTCAAAGGTTTTAAAATTGCAGTTAGACAGAAGGAATAAATGATAAGCGTTAAAGTGATGAATAGAATATGATGACTAGCTTTATTCAATCATTCCACCCTGTATATGTATATCATAACATCATGATGTGCCCCATAATTATGTCAAAAAGATTAAATAGAATTTTAAAAAGAACTTACTGTATTCTTTCTAGGCTCATTAATATAAAGATAGAAAACCATTCTTTTTTTTTTTGGAGAGGTTTTTGCTATAGGGTGCGTGTGCTCACCAGAAAGACAGAGAGAGACAGAAAGTGAGAAATCACCCCCCCAGGGGGGGTGGCCACGCCACAATCCCTTCTCCTCCATTCTCCTCTCAGGATCTTGGGCACGCGCGCACACGCACCCGGCCTGAGTTTAAGCCATCGGGTCTGGCTTTGAACCGCGGTTGACTACATGGGAGTTCAGCGACATAGCCATTACACAAACTGCTGGTCCCAAGATAGGAGGTCATTCTTGTAAGTAATTCATCCCCTAGGATAGTTTGGTCATTTTAATATGTTTTGATGTATGTGAATTTCCCATTTATTCCCTTCACTTATTTCTCTTTCTGTGCTATGAACAGTAATATTTTGCTGATTATGTTACCTCCTTAGTTGACTGAGCTGTGCTTATCAAACAGAATATTCTATCCTCAGTCTGTTACCTGGTCTTCACTTTGATTACAGTGACTTGGTTGCAGAGAAACTTTCTATATTAATATAGTAAAGTATATTGATTTATACAATTTATACATCCAGTCCATGAAATTCTTCCTAACCCTGAAGCTACACAGATAACTCTTAGTATTTTTTACAAACTAGTGACATTTTATTTATTTATTTTTCTTTAAGGATTTTCCTCCATTCTCTTCTCAGAATTTTGGTCACACACACACACACACACACACACACACACACACATACACCCAGCATGATTTTCAAGCTGCCAGGTCTGACCCCAGCAGTATTTTAAAAGCCACTGTTGGGTCTGGGACTAGAACCATGGTCAGCCACATAGGGGAGTCCAGTGCCTTAACCACCATACCACCTGCTGACCTAAAGCTTTATTTTTTATATTTAAATCTATAGCACAACTGGAATTGATTCTCCCACAGTGTGAGGTAGGGGGCCTCTTTTTTCATATGGAAAACAAATTATTTAAGAAATTTTTTAACAGACCACACATAATCTGCAAATTTTTTAACAGACCACACATAATCACCTCTGGTCTATTTTGGCCTCTTTATTCTATTTCATTGACTTAGTATTTGCCTATACTACATAGTCTTATTTGCTTACAATAAGTCTCTCTCACTATATAGAACAATCTTTACCACATTGAGCTTGCTTTCTTCATTTTTTTTTTTTTTAGAGATTTTCACTGTAGGGCGCATGCGCTCGCCAGACAGACAGAGAGAGACATAGAGACAGAAAGCGAGAAATCACCCCCCAGGGGGGATGGTCACGCCGCAATCCCTTCTCCTCCATTCTCCTCTTGGGATCTTGGGCACGCACGCACACGCGCCCGGCATGAGTTTTAAGTCACCGGGTCTGGGACACGAACCACGGTCGACTACGTGGGAGTCCAGCGACATAGCCATTACGCTAACTGCTGGTTCCCCTTTCTTCATTTTTTTAGTTAATTTATTTTACTTATGATAGGCTGTGTGTGCACATGAGAGAGAGAGACAGAGAGAGACAGAGAAAGAAAGAAAGGACTCTTAACAGAGTCTAGTCACATTCTGATAACTTCTCTCAGCACTCCTGCTGGTCAAGATCTTGGCCATGTGAACAGCCACTATGTTTCAGGTCCACCAAAATTGGGGATCTGAACCTATGGTTGTCCAGGTGTCTTCCAACACTGCAGTTCAGTACATAACCAACTCTAATAAGGTTGGGCTTTATTTATTCATTGAATATTCTGAAGAGTTTTCTGATTCAGAAATTTGTTCTTCATCTTACTTATTTATTTTTGTCAAAAATGTTGGGACCAGCAGTTAACGTAATGGCTATGTCACTGGACTCTCATGTAGTTGACTGCGGTTCGTGTCCTGGACCCGGTGGCTTAAACTCACGCCAGGCACATGTGTGTGCGTGCCCAAGATCCCGAGAGGAGAATGGAGGAGAAGGGACTGCGGCGTGGCCATCCCCCTTGGGTGGGGGTTATTTCTCGCTTTCTATCTCTCTGTCTCTCTCTGTCTGTCTGGCGAGCGCATGCGCCCTACAGCAAAAACCTCTAAAAAAATATGTTCTTCCAATTTTCAAATAGATTTTCAGAATACATGGTTATATTTATATCTGGATATCTCTCAATGTTCGCTATTAGAACTGAATTTTTTTTTCACAACAGACTTTCTAATTTGTTCCCATTCATTATTATTTTTCTTTCATACAGGTATTTGTTTTCCACAATCTTGTTGAATTATCATTAGTTTCCAGGGGATGGTTTTGAGCAGATTCAACCTTATATCCGTATCTGAGAATAAACTCAACAATGGAAATTGATGACAAGAATCTAGTTCTATTAGATCTAGAGCTGATTTTATTTTCTTTTAGGTTTTTTCCTTTCCTGTCATATAAAGAAAGAAAAAGAGAGAGATAACCTCAACATGGTCTTGCCATGCCATTATGTTCCTGAACAGCCTCCCAGCCAATCATCCCATGGTCCCACAAGGCACGCTCAGCATGTTCAGGTCCATAGGATCTGAACCCAGACCTCCCATGTGATCCAATATCACACCATAGCACCCTAACACATGCACTACAGAGGCTGGCACTAGAGCTGTGTTTTAATCACTAATCGTATTCCTCATTAATACTGCTTAACATCTGGATGCCTATTTTTAGGTTGAAATATAGTCTTTTAAAAAATGTTTCAATTGTTAATAATGTCAACTTCAAGAAAAGTTGCAAGAACAAAATACTGTACAGCCTTTGCCTAGATTCATTTATTGTTAACATTTGCTTTGTAATTTGCACTCACCCCTCCCTGCTTCTCTCATGTACCTCTATATGTGTGAATGTAGATATAGCTATAAATAAAGATGTCATTTTCTTCTAAACTATGAGGCCCCTTTATCCTACATACTAAATGTTTTTCCTTAAAAGCAGTACGTTTTCCCTCAGAATAGAACGTTATATTCCATAAACACAGCTCAGTCAACTTTTATAAATGCAACCTTTATACAATGGCTTTTAACTATTCTCCCATTCATATTTCAATTTTATCCATTTATCCAACAATGTGCTTTAGCACATTTACCCCATGTGCAAAACAGTCTAGGGTCAGACACATTCAATTGTCAAGTCTCTTTATCCTCTCCCTTAAATTGGAACATTCCCCAGAGAGCATCTTTGTCTTTTGTAATACTGAATGTAGGGTTCTGGCAGAAATACAGAAACTAAATCTAACCATGAGACAAAACCCTACATGTGCTATGGTGACCTTTGCAGAATATCACATCCATGTCCATCTGTTGCTCGTGGGTGATGTTCATTTGGATTTCTTACTCAGGGTATTTTCCAATTTCTTCACTATAAAGCTACATAAAAAATCCACATATACATACATAAACATGTATACATGGACATAAATATGTACATACATATAAATATGTATTTGTGAAAGACATATTTTATAAATCACCAGTTCAAACAGATATATCTAATTCCAACCCCACCCCGCAAGGTTTGTTCTGCCTCCTTTTATCTACTTTACTTGCTCTTCTAACAAGGTTGACACATCTACTCATTTACCAAATCCTACAGCGTAACTCATAATTTCAGAACTGTTTTCACCCACACTACCATAATAGATTAACCTACTAAAAAGGATTCAGGATCTTCCATTTTCCCTCTTCCCCATCTGTAATCCAAGAACGAAGTATATGGTTAAAAACTGTGTTCAAAATCTACTTGAATTCATTGTTTTTTCTCTTTCTTCAGTGCACTTGTCATATTCAATTGAAACGTAATTGCGTTCCTTTGTTTTAATTTGCTTTTAATTCTTAAAAAATTATGTTTTTAATATGCAAAATACTAACTTGTTTCCAAAAGTCAAATGTATACCAAAAGGTACTCAAAGATGTATCTTTTCCTCCCACACCTTACCCACCCCATACTTGACACTGCTTCTTGTAGGTAATCAACTTCACTGTTTTCTGGTTTATCCTTCTCTTGTATCTTTTTGTAAAAGTAAGCAGTTATGCGTGTATATTTTTCCTTCTTTCTTACAAAAAAAGACAGTTCACTGCATGTGCCCTGCTATACTTCCTTATGTGTCCAGAAAACTACAATGACTGGGACCAGCAGTTAGCGTAATGACTATGTCGCTGGACTCCCACGTAGTGGACCGCGGTTCACATGCTGGACCAGTGGCTTAAACTCATGCAGGGCGCTTGTGCATGCATGCCCCAGATCCCAAGAGGAGAAAGGAGGAGAAGGGATTGCAGCGTGGCCATCCCCCCTGGGGGGTGATTTCTCATTTTCTGTCTCTCTGTCTCTCTCTGTCTTCCTGGCGAGCGCACACGCCCTATAGCAAAAACCTCTCCATTAAAAATGACTCCATTACAATGACTGTCCCTATTCTTCTTCTTTTTTTTAATTCTCTAGAGAGTATAAGCACTCACTAGAGAGGGACAGAGAGAGAAGGAAAGGGAGAAAACAGTTCCCACGGGGAAATGTCACACTGCCATCCTTTCTCCTCCATTTCTCCATCTTGTTGGGATCGGGGCATGAATGCACGTGTGCCTAGTGTGTTTTTCAAGCTGCTCAGCCCAGGACTCAAACCACAGGGCTAGCCAG